AATTTGCATACCGGTGGCGGGAACTCTTTTGCACCGTGCATTTCTCTTGCAACTTGAGCAATGCACTCTGCAAAAGAAGATGCAGAAAGGTGGGAAACTCATCCCTGCACCGGGGTTTTCCTCTGCAACAGGAAACTCTCCCGTGCAATGAAGCTGCAACTTGGCGGGGATAATTCTGGTGCCGAAGCACACACAAAATCATGCCTTTGGGTCATGACAGTATAATCAAGTACTAAATAAATGCACAGTTACCAGTGCAGTCACGCAAGCAAATGCCTTTTTAGTGACAGTACTGCACAGTAGCCTAATAATACTGCACAGTAGCATGTTAGCACTGTTTGTGCTCTGATGCACTACTGCGCAGTATTATTAGGCTCCTGTGTAGTTTGCGTCTTGTGTAGATGCACCCACTCAGACTTTAGTCTTTCTGGTTTTATCACTACATGCTTGTGCTATTCCTTTGCACTCATCTTTACTCATGTACTCAGTTTTCCTTTTTGATTTACTTGTCAATGAAGAACTCTTAAGGAAGCCATGTTAGTCTTTCCTATGCTTCCTGCCTTTCCTGTACAATAGGATAGTTTACCTTTGTGCCCTTAAGAAACCTTCTTTCAGTAAATACCTACTCTCCTTTATCCTTTAATTGTCTTGCAAGGAGACCTTAGCTACCTGTTCCCTCTTGAAGTCTGCTTTTCTGAAAACCATTATTCTTATTCTTACCCTGGAATAATGGACTCTATTGTTTCATTATCACTTTCACCCAAAGTATCTTCCACTTTTAGATTCTCAACTAATTCTTCCCCATTACAAACGGAACTTAAACAGCCACTGCCCTAGTAGCGTCCTTCACCTTCTGAAGCAAAAAGTTGCCTCCAACCCATTTTAAGGACTGTCTGTGTTCTGCCATATGTTTTTTCCAGTGGCTGTGTGGCTAATTAACCCAAATTACCAAGGAGACTTGTATTTTGGATACTATTAATAGTTATTCACAAAAAGGTTCATCCTTAAGATGGGTGATCTGTAGTAAAACCATAACATGACACCATCATTGTTATTTTCACCCTTTAGGTTCACTTAATGACTTTGAACAAATTTTCCTTTCCTCTTTTCCTAAATGTTAGAGCAAGTATATGCATTTTTGATCCATACCACCACTCTCCCTCTCTTTTTTCCTGTCCTTCCTCTCTAAACAAATTGCACCCTTTTATGCCAATATTCCAGACCTCCAATTTATTCCATCAAATTGGTAAGAGAGAGGGCCTTATTACACATTCACTTTAGGCAGCTCCTAGAGCTCTTAACCCCCTGGACTGTCTGCACATTAGCAACTGAAACTAGTTGTAAGCACACTTTAAGTGACTTAAAGTTACACCACTTCAGGGCAGGTTTGCCTCTGATCTGTGTTACCCAGCTCCTATTCCATTAATGTGTGGACACTCCCCCACCTTCCTGTTCTGTGTGAAGAAATTCTCCACCCCCTGAACTCTACTGCCAGGGGCGGGCAGGCAGGGGAGTATTGGTCTAGCACTAAGCCAAATTATGGGGAAGTGTGGTCATGCTAGAGGATAGGTTGGTAGTTCAGGCCAACCTGGACAGGCTCACAAGGTGGGCGAATCAAAACCTGATGACATTCAACATGGAGAAATGCAAGGTGCTCCACCTTGGGAGAAAAAACCCACATCATACTTATAAGATTGGCAGTGCTACAGTCAATAGCACCACAACCGAAAGAGACTTGGGGGTCATGATTGACCACAAGATGAACATGAGCCACCAATGAGATCCCACAGCCAGCAAAGCAAATAAAACCCTGGCTTGCATCTATCAATGCATCGCAAACAAGACTCAAGAAGTCATCCTCCTGCTTTACTCAGCCTTGATGAGGCCGCAGCTGGAGTACTGCATCCATTCTGGGATCCATACTTTAGAAAGGATGTGGAAAAGCTTGAGAGGAGAGCCATGCACATGACTACAGGTCTTATGAGGAGAGGCTGAGAAGCATGGTACTTTTCAGCCTGGAGAAGCAAGGGCTCAGGTGGAACTTGGTGGCAGCTTATAAGTATATAAGGGGTGTGCATCAGGAGCTGGGAGAACGTCTGTTCATCAGGGCACCCCAAGGGAAGACAAGGTCTAACGGTCACAAACTGTTGGAAGACCATTTTAGACTGGACACAAGGGAAAACTTGACTGTTTGAGTCTCCAGAGTCTGGAATAGACTCCCCCCCAGAAATGGAGCAAGCACCTACTCTGGATACCTTTAAGAAACGCTTGGGTTCTTATCTTGCTGGGGTGATCTGACCTCAGTTGACTTCCTGCTCCTTGGCAGGGGGCTGGACACGATGATCCTGCAAGGTCCCTTCCAGCCCTAATGTCTGCGAAATCTATGAAATCTATAAGCAACTTCTGCTTCTGCTCCCAGGGGTGTAACCTTCCCACCTTTCCCCATGCAAACAGTTTATAAATCACATGCCATGTCTCAGGGCATGGACAGGTCCAGGAGTGGGGAGATGGGGAGGATCAGGTCCCCATGAGCTGGGGTTTCCTTCCCAGGGCAGGAGCAGTAGCTCCCCATAAGGTGCCTTCCCTCATCACTCCCACCTGCCAGCCACCCCAGGAAGCATGACCAGCACCCCTCCACACACTCCAATCCCAAATCCCAATTTATTAGAATATGAGACCTTCTTTTAATCTACTTCCTCTTTATTTCTTGTAAAAAAGACAAGAATTTTAAATCTTTTTATTTTATCCTTCAGTGGCTGGCTGACTTCATTTTCACCACCTACTCCCATCCCCATCTCCTTTCCACTTCCCATGTCATTTCCCACTCCTGTCCCATTAACTCTCCACCTCCCGGCCTCATGCTCCCCTGCCTCCCATCTTCCACACACCTCTACCCAGAGCAGGGATAGAAGCCAGTCCTGGCTCACCCACCCTCTAGTGGCAAGTCACAGCTGTGTAGGTGGGGGACAGTCAGAGAAGGTTTTTAGCCTTAAGGTGCAACTGCTCCAAACATAAGCTACCACTAACATTGACCAAATTTGCACAGCTCAAAGTGCAATGTGGAACAAGGCCCAGAGAAGGGGTCACTTGGTGCTGAATCCAAAGCCCACTATATTCAGTGGAGAGGCCTTAACATTGACTTCATCAGGCTTTGGATCAGGCCTGTGTTTGCTTGTAATACAGACCATGGATAGACAGTGCTGCTTAAGGAACCAATACCTTACAAGCAGAGGGGCTGAGAAGGGAATTCATTATTAGCTTGAGCAGCTTTGTCTCCAAACCCTTGGGCACCATGCTGTTCCTCGAACCTAACAGTCTCGCACAGCGAGTCTCCCCTGCACCTTTGCCACGTGCCACAGGCAGTAGCATCCTGAAGAGGGAGGGACAGGGAGATATTAGGGCCAGGACCTACCTTTAGCATCTGAGAGCAGTATCCTGCCTGTATTTTGTAGTGGGCTCTAACTTGAGTCTTCTAAGGCTAAAAGCCCTTGGGCCCAACTGGACAAGAGAGAGTTACTGTTAGAATCATAAAGTCCGGGCAGCTCATGCTCACAAATCAAGTTTGCTGCGATCTTGCTCTGTTTGTTTCACTGCCAGATATCGATGAGTGCATCATGAATGGGGTGATGTGTAGAAATGGCCGCTGCGTAAACACTGATGGCAGCTTCCAGTGCATCTGTAATGCTGGCTTTGAAATTACCCCTGATGGCAAAAACTGTGTTGGTAAGCGCTTCCTTCCGCGTGACATCAGCTGGGGCAGAAATGGACTCACTAACTGCAATAACCCTGCATATATATATATATATATATAGCGTATTTAAAGCCAAAGCCCAGGGGTTTTACAGATGGGTTAAGAATTCACTTCTTTCCTCCCAGGCAGAGATGACCTGAGCAGGGTGCAGGGCCCAGGGCAAATCAGCCTGCGCAGGGCCCTGCCTCCACACACCCCGGACATGAAGCCGATGGTGGATTCAGTGGCAGGGGGGCGGCGGGATCCCAAGCAGCCGGATGTGAAGCTGTCAGCAGCAGTGGTGGTGGCAGTGCTCTCCCCGCAGCCACTCAGCCCTGCTCTGCAGGGCCCTGGGCGGTCACCCCGATTCACCCCACCTAAGGACAGCCCTAATTCCAGGCATACAGCCCCCTCTGAGGTGGTCTGCTCTTTAGCAATATTTCACAAGCATTAAGGAGAGTAGAGGAAGAGTCACTGATCCAATGGAAATTGCTCTTTGAGATGAAATAGCTACAGTGCTCTGCGACTAAGGAGTTAACAGTGTTTTGCTTGACAATAATTTTGCAGGGGCACTAGGGTGCCACAAGATCTGTAGTGTCCCAGAGTGATGAGGGTCACTGAGTTTTACATCACCCCTAAAAGGTGGTGTCAGTGCCACAACACAAGAGTGCAGATTCACCTTTAGCTCAAAGAGCAAAGTGCATGAGAAGAGCCAGTACTGCTTCCTGCAGTACCTTAGGATTTTTGTAAAGGTTGCACTGTCCTCAACAGTGAAATTAAGTGAAATTGTCCTCAGAGTGAAATTAAGAGTAGCTTTACACCTTATAGACTAACTAAATCAGAGATGCATAAGCCTTCATAAATAGTGGCTTACTTCAGTTTACTAGTATGTGAGTCAGCTAGTTAAAAGCTAACTCAGATATACCTACATGAGCTGCAGACACACCTATCCATGGCAACATAGGATTCTTCATAGAGCAACAATTTTCAGCTGGGGGTCTCTGGGTGCCTTGAGACCCTTCCAAGGGTGCTGCCAGGTGCCATGCAACATTTGCATTCCTAGGTGTAGAAACATAACTCACAAAATAAACTCAGAGATTTCAAATAAGAATCCACAGCATTAAAAACATTCAAACTTGTTGTGATCTTTCTGAGTTCTTTGCAACACAGTAATTGCTCTAATATGTTTCTGTATGCAAAACACTAAGTGAAAACTAAGAGTTAACATATTCCAAGGGGGTTCCTCGTGTCTACTGAGGGGGGCCTTGAGTCTGTTAAGGGGGGTCTTGAGTCTGAAAATGTTGAGACCACTGTCTTAGAGGCAAATAAAGATTTGACCACATCTGGGGTAAGGTAAAAAATAGAATCTGAAAACAGGAGAGTCTTTGTGCACCCCACAGGTTCATGTTTCTTATCATGTTTCTTATCATCCTCCCTAGATCACGATGAATGTGCTACAACCAATATGTGTCTCAATGGGATGTGTATCAATGAAGATGGCAGTTTCAAATGTATTTGTAAACCAGGCTTTGTACTGGCTCCCAATGGGCGCTACTGTGTTGGTGCGTGTACTCCAGTTTTTCTCTGTTTCTGTTGTGTCCTATATGTCTCTGGGACTTGGTATGTACAGAGGGATGAGATGGGTAAAGCCAGAGTTATGAAGGAAAGAAGAGGAAGGTAAGGCAGATCTCAGGGTAATGGTGATGCTGACTGCATTCCCTAACTTTTCACCCAAGCTTAACCAGCAGAGAAGCTAATGGCAGTGCAGGAATGGGTTAGGTCCTAGAGGACTGAAAGGCACTTGGAGAGAAGGAAGCAGCTCTGTTGTTACACAGATAGTAGTGAAATGAAAGAGTCTCACTGAGCTATTTGAGAGAGTCGAGACTGGGCATCCTGCTGACTCCATTCATTTTGCGTAAGCCTAAGGCAAGGGCTTACAGCATGCAGAGCAGCCTTTGTTACAGTAGGCCCTGCCCCAGCCCACAGGGCCTCTGAGATTCTTCCTACCAGGAAAGTGAACTCCTTCCCCCTCTGTCATGCTGCCAATACGTGTGCTTTCCTTTCAGATATCGATGAGTGCGAGACTCCTGGCATCTGCATGAATGGCTGGTGCATCAACACAGAGGGCTCCTTTCGGTGTGAATGCCTGGGTGGCCTGGCCATTGGCGTGGATGGACGAGTCTGTGTGGACACCCATATGCGCAGCACGTGTTATGGAGGCATTAAAAAGGGCACCTGTGCCCGTCCCTTTCCAGGAGCCGTTACCAAATCTGAATGTTGCTGTGCTAACCCGGACCATGGTTTTGGGGAGCCTTGTCAACCGTGTCCAGCCAAAAACTCTGGTGAGCTCCACCTCTGTCTGTGTACAGATTCAAGGGGAAGGTACTTGGAAATGGTTTAATTCTCTGAGGATCCATCTGAGAAGACACCTTGGCCTATACAGCATGACAGCATTATTGAAAGGCCCAGAGGTGTACTGCAACCACTGTCATAGTATGGGCTGTACTAGTGTTTCCTGCCTATGATCCACACAACCCATGATCTATACATGGGTTATGTATTGCTATGTCCTGCTATCTTGTCCTCTTTGTCTCCAGGTGCCGAGTCATATAGAAAGAAACTAAACACCTTTGTGCTTTCCCCTTTTCACTTCTCCATGTGAACGGTTGCTGTACTTACCTCAGGAGTTTTTTACCCATGGCCTATGTAATCTGGAAGAGGTTCCCAGAAGCAATTGCTCTGTTGAGGTGTACTCCACCCTCGGAGGCATTCTTAGGAAGCCCTGTGCTAAGATATTTTTTAGAGTTCATTATAGTGGTAGCTGCTGCTACTAAAAATTAACATGTCAAAACTGCTTCATGGACCCTAACTTATGAAACTCGCCCCTATTTCCAATTTCCTTGCTTCATCTCTGTTCAAAGTGATGTCCTTTGTGTCTTGAAAATGTGAAGTGAATCTGGCTACTAGATCACACCAGTCCATGCTGGAGCTAGTACGTGGGGTCACTCTGTGGTTGAATCTGGTACATGGTATTGGGCCATTGTGCAGGATCAAACCCATGTGCAGATCCTGTTTGTTAGCCATTGGTGCTGTCAGCAGTGATTTTATATCCACTCCCTGAGCAATGATGAAATGTTAAATTGGTATTACATCTTGTACCAGAACCCACTTAGAAGCACCCCCATCTGTTGGAGGTATTTCATTGACAGCTACATTTTGAGATTTGTTTGTTAATCACTTCTTAACCCATTTAACAAGTGCTTTGCTTAGACTCTTATACTTAGCATAGATCTACAATTGGTGCAGAGCAGCTGAACTGATCATGGGGACTTTTGTTTTATTTGAATGTTCACTGCAGTATTAAGCAGTGTCAGTGTTAAAATATATCATACACTGTTATAAACATCTGATTCTGAGTATTCACAATCAATACTCTAGCAAAAAGCAAATGGGAATTGTCCATATTGTTCTGAATCGATGTCATTTTGCCAATGCTATAATGAAAAACTAATGAATCTGCCCTGCTTTTTCCACAGCTGAATTCCAGGCACTGTGCAGCAGTGGCATTGGAATAACAGCTGATGGCAGAGGTGAGGACTTTACCATGTGCCATAATACAGAGGGATGCCTATAACTAAGGTTCTCTAGCACTTCCAGTTATAAGACCTTGCTTTCAGTTGCATATATGTGTGAATGTGTAATTTTGTGAATGTGCACGAGTGGTACAAGACAGACTGAACATTTCTATGAATGTAATCTGCATTACACAATATCAAAAATAGTGGGTAGGTGATGCAAACCACTAATCTGGGGTAACTTCACCCAGTCTGCGGGAGAAATACCCCTGAAAAATCAGGGGTATTAGTTAGAGTGGCTTAGGTTTCACCTGTCAACATACATCCTGGGGTTGCTCCTTGTTAAAAGCAAACTGACTGTTATTACCTGCTTCCCTACTGTCTTGTGGAAGGGTGCAATAATAGCTGACTCTGTCCATTCCTGAGCCTGGTATGATTTACATCAGTGTAAAAATCCAAAGTACATTACCACAGAGTATGTCTTTGTCCAGGGCCAATACTTATTGGGTAATTCTCTATGTACATGCGCTGGAGAGTATGTGAGAATGAGTATGAGTGTGTGAGAGAGAGAGAGAGAGAGAGATAAGTGTATAAGTGAGCATGAGAGATTGGGCATGTTTTGGCATGTGTATGTAAAAGTGCAAGCAGCAAGGATTTTTATGGGTGATATATTTTATTGGACCACTACTACATGGGCGGGATAGACTTAGACAAGCTTTAAGTCATTCTTTTTCAGGTCTCTCTATAAGTGAAATGTGTATGTACATGCATGTGAGTGAGTACATGTAAGCATGTGAATGCCTGTGGGAGAGTGAGTCTATGTATATGTGAGTGAATGAGTGTATATGCAAGTGAAAGTAAGCGTTTGTGTTTGTATGTATGTGTGTGCATGTATGCGAGAGAGAGTGAATGTGTCTCAGATTCTGCCTTAAGTAACAACAAATTACTGTTAGGCAAACATACCCAAGTCTGGTATAGTGAATCAAGTGGCTGGTCCTTGGCACCGAGGGGGAGTTGCATTTCTGGGTTTGCCCATAGTCTGGCAACCCTACAATATATTGCTGGAGAACTAACCTAAAACTCATCATCGGGGGGTGTATTTGTTGAAGGCATTTATCAGTGATTTTCAGGTGTAGGTTTGTCTAGGTCTGCAAGCTGGGACCCCATCCAGCTCAAGGCCCTGATCCATACATAGCTCACCCCCCTGCATACCTCACCAGAGAACAAATGCTCATGGCTGGGTCTGAGGGTCCTCCTCCTGCCTCCCAGGATGCATGGACTACTGCTCAGCCAGCTCTTTATGTCAACAGTAGAAATAGGAAATTTACTTTGACCTGACCAGCTACAGCCCCCTCTTCCTGGCTGGCAGTGATGCAGCCTGGGAGCTCACCACAGGCACACAACAAGGGAGTTCATATAGAATGTGGGTGCCTTTGCAAAGCCTTTCTTTGACCATCTGCACCTGGCTATTGATTTGATAAGGACTCCTTCTCCACCCCAGCTGCTCAGAGACTCTCTAGCACTCCTGTACAACACACTACCAGACCCAGGCCTGGTTCTCTCTCTTCACCAGCCCTGGCCTGTTGGCAGTGCCAGTTGGGAAGTGCAGGACAGGACATGTGCAGGCTGACAACCTTGCCTCATTTAGGTACAGCACCCAGCATGCAGCACTTTCCAAACCACCTCCTCTTTTGGCCTTTTCCTCAGACAGAGATAGATGAGGGGACTAAAGGATGGACTGAGAACTGGGCACCAGAGGTGGAGATCAGTGCTTGGGTTAACCCAGAAGAGACTGTCACGGTCCCAACAGGCACCAGCACCTCTGTGGTTAGACTCTGCATGTAAGGGTATGGCACTGTGCCAGCTGCCTGCCCAATGCTCAGTGTTCTGCATTGCCACCTGTGAGTCACAGGTCTGCTGTCTGCCTTCAACCTCATGCTCCACAGGAGCTGGTGGTAGAGGTGCCAGCACTGGGTCTATAGGCTAGCAGAAATTGTGTTCCCCCCACTCCCTACTAGCCTTCTGGGATATAGAGGGGTATTGATGCCTAGAGAGAACCCCAAGACATTCAGAAGTGACTATAATCAAAGGAGCAAATGACTCCTCCTTGGGAAAAGAAGAGAAAGCGGGCTGTTGGTCTCAGTGCCATAGCTGAGACCCTGCACTGATGGAGACAGTACACAGTGGCAGAGAGAATGCTGATACAGTGCAGGGACTCAGGATGCAGGCCATTTCCCTGTGAGCATCTCCCTCTGCATGACATGCCCTTGCAAGACAAATTGTGCATGTGCGCACACATATGCATATACACACACATATGCATATACGCCCATCATGGACTGGGGGTAACTGGTGGGGCTTTAGTTGTCATCAGACTTCTCTCATAAATGTGTGTGCTCTGCTCGAGACCTCACCTTCATGAAGGAGGCAGCATCTCTGTTACAAGAAAGGTCTCTGCAGGGTAGAAATTAAAGTCCATTCAGCCTACTGAATGTAGATTTTGTAGCCTGAGGAAACCTGAAGGTACAAGGCTGCAGCTTGGCAATACATAGGAGCAAAGCAGTGCCGACATTTAGAGCATTCTTCTGCATGGTCTCCTGCAGATGACCCACACAATGGTCAGGCTGAGTACTGAAAATGTGTACATCCAGATGTGGACAGGCTTGTGTAGAAGGCAATGGAGGTAAAGCAGAAGCAGAGGCTGAAAGATTTTCTTTCAGGGCTTGGCCCTGGTTCTGGTCACATCTGAACATGTGGTTCCTTGCGCTGCACAGATATCAATGAATGTGCCCTCAACCCAGACATCTGCCCCAATGGCATGTGTGAGAACCTGCGTGGGAGCTACCGCTGCATCTGCAATTTGGGCTACGAATCAGATCCCACTGGCAAGAACTGTGTGGGTGAGTTCAGGAGAATCCCTGTGTGTTCAGGGCAGTTTGGAGCCCCTCTGAAATAGGCCAGGTCAAGGCCAGAGAGCCAGATCTACACTCAGCAGGGAGCCTGGCTAGCAAAGGTCTACTAGAAACAAGTGGAATTTTGCAGGCCGGTCGTCACAGAGCTTGATGCACATTAACTGGCCCAGAGGCCAGGGCACTTACTTAGGGCTTTGCTCTAGGCCTAAGCACTAAGCCTGGGCTTAGTGCAACAACTGATTCCCCTAAACACAAGGTTCTCTTTTTGAGCTGTGACATGATGAGTCTGATTGTCCAGAGAGAAAGATCACAGGGCAGTAGCTATAACTAAAGTAACTGCAATTTCAGAGCAACACATTTGCTAGTAAATATGGTATTTGTTATAAAATGTATCACTAAAACATTCGGCAACCCTAGCAAGGTGGGTGTGTAAAGCACTGAAACAAACTGAACATTACTTAAACTGCCTAAACATGCCAGGATATGGGGCAGGGTAGCTATGCAGATGAAGCTAAGCCCTGAGAGAGAGACTGGCTGCCCCTAGAGATGCCAGGCTGGGCATTGCCCAAAGGTAAGTCTGTGGTAAGTTCCAGCTGCTGCCCTGAAGCTCTGATGACATGCTGTGGCCTGGCTTACCCTCTCTCTTTTGGAGAATATGAGAAGCAAACACAGTACAAATGGGTAGCTTTTCCATTCTCCTCCTGCCAGGTGATTTTAATAGACTCCTATGTGCTTGCTCACTCAAGCTGTGCCATAAATAGCAAGGTCTGTGTAAGTGGACTGCCTGGGCCTGGGATGTGTCTCAGAGAATAAATGTTTTCAGTGCCATCTTGGCTCCAGAAATCAGGTAGCTGAGGGGATGCCTGGTGCTGGAGCTCACAAGCCCTGTCTATCTCTGCCCACAGATGTTGATGAGTGCACTGTTAATCGTTTGCTCTGTGACAATGGCCTGTGCCGTAACACACCTGGAAGCTACACCTGCACCTGTCCCAAAGGCTTTGTCTTCAGGACTGAGACAGATACCTGTGAAGGTAATGATCTTCTTAAGCTCTTTGGTTTGGCTGTCGGACTGCCATCCAGCATGGTGTTCATTGGCTTTGCTGCCCTCTGCCAGAGAGAAGCAGAAGCTGCACCATGGCCAAGACCGCAGCCTAGCTGGGCTGAACTGGAAACTGGCTGAGTCTGAATATTAGCAGTGATTCCAAGGGCAACAGAATATCTGCAAGGTGCAAAGCATGAGTGCTAAGCCATCTCCTGGGTGTAACATGCCTTTGATTTTCTCTGGCTCAGTAGTGGTTTGGACTCTAGCTGCCCTTGGGGGTGGCGGTTTCTGGTTTTTCCATGAGGCTTTCTAACTTCCTTTTTGTTTAAAATCTGAAAAGCCCCACACTGAATTTTCTTAGTTTTCAGAAACTCAAACCCAAAACATTTTCCTCCAAACATCAGAACTTTTGGACTAAAAAATTTAAATTTTGGGACAGGGAGTTGGTGGAAAATTTACAGTTTGGGAGTCATCTTTTTCCTGACAAAGAATTGAAAATATTTGAAGAAAGGGGACAAGTTCTGCAGAAATGCATATTTACACCCCCCCAAACCCCTCAAATTACAATTTTCCTATGGAACACAGTGAAGTTTCCTTGCAGGCTCCAAGTATCAGCTATATGGAACAAAGCATGTTGCGATGAAACTGTTGCAAAAGTATTTAGATGTCCAGAGAAGCTCTTAGTTTCTTTAGCAGCCTTTGAAAGCTGTGATGAATTATGTCAACCAATTTTCACTCCTTCCTCTCTACTAACCTGCTCTGAGGGTTCGCTAAATCCCAGCTTTAACCACTGCTCTTATTATCTAGAGCTGGACCTGAGTCCCAAGATTCAGTGTCAGGTGTTCATATCTGGGTGATGGTTCATCCTGTTGCAGAGGCAGGACCTGGCAATTCAATTTCCTACTGACTCCAAACTCTTGGTGCCTTTGGGGGCCCAGCTCCTGGGCTGGGGTGGGTCCTAGACTCTCTACGGTTCTTTCAGTGCTAGTACATTGACGGTTATTTTTGACTCACAGATATCAATGAATGCACCTCAAACCCATGTGTGAATGGTGTATGCAGGAACAATGCTGGCTCTTTTGCCTGTGAGTGCTCCCCAGGCAGCAAACTGGACCCGAGTGGCACCATCTGTGTGGGTAAGACTCCTTACAGGGCCAGTGATGGGCAGGACTGACAATCCCAGCAACCCCACTTAATATTGCTCTGTCTTAGAGGTGGTCACAGGAGACAGTTCAGGGTTTAGCTTTGGACCCCAGCAATTTGCATAGGCACAGTAGGGCTCGCACTATATTGACTCAATTTCTTGCTATAATTTTTGTTTCTCGTGGAACAGTGAAGCTGAGAAAGCATCGTAGCAGTCAGCCAAAGTGTTCCAGCCACTGCACCGGATGCCCAATAAACCCTAACCATGCTGCAGTGGGAGAGTTACTTGGTGTGAGGTTCCTTGAACATCATGTAGGATCATCACCCACATCCTGGCATGCACAAGAGGGCCCCCACAATGGAGGATCCTACAACATGAAGGGAATGGCAGCCCCATCTTACACACAGTTCAATAACTTACTTTGTACCATCAACTGAGATACATAAATCACTTTTAGCCAAGATGAAAGCCTACCTAAGCCCAGAACAAGGACTCTGGCCTTGGCTGAGTCACAGCCTCTCCACTTCAGTCCAAGATCTTCAGCATCTCTGCATTGAACATAAGTTTTATATTAATGTGTCAGCAGCTAGCAGGTTGGGCTTGGTGTCACGCTCCCTTTGTAAGCAAAGCTCTCATTGTTCTGCCTGAGCACAGAGTAAGGAACAGGCCCTTTATCCACAAGAAGACAAGCAGGGCAGAACCCAGCCCTACTTATCAGAGCCAAGCAGTGCTGCCAGGCATGAACACACAGTGGTATCAGAGAGCAGAGCCCAGCTTGCAGCTCCACAGAGCAGGGTCCTGGCAAATGCAGCCCTCTGAACCCCACTGTAGTGCACATGGCTCCACAGCATGCCAGGTAAAGCAGAGCAGGCAAAGAATGCTCCTTACCTGGTTTTCAAGGCCTGCTGGCTTTTCCAGCAAGGCACCTCTCTTCCAATTTCTCTCCCTTGCCATCTAGCTGCTGGGAGCTAGGTGGCAATCAGGCAGGGGGGCAGCTCTTCACATATGCTGTGTTTTGCCTCCACAGACAGCATGAAGGGGACATGCTGGTTGAACATCCAGGATGGCCGCTGTGAGGTGAACATCAATGGAGCAACACTGAAATCTGAGTGCTGTGCCACACTGGGAGCAGCCTGGGGCAGTCCTTGTGAGCGCTGTGAGATCGGTAAGCCTAACACAAAGGCAAGGAACCTTTGCCTGGGCATGGGCAGCAAGGAAATCATCTGCCTATCTCATTATGCCTCTTTGCCTTCCTGCAGATCCTGCCTGTCCCAGAGGGTTTGCCAGGATGAAGGGGGTCACATGTGAAGGTAAAGTGCCAAGGAGTGAAGCTCTTGCTGGCAACAGGGTTACTGGGAGACTAATAGAAGTCTTGCTGCTCCTTCCCTCCTCCTGTAATGTTACCCTCCTTGCTGAGCTACACTAAGTGCCACAGCTGTGGGATAGTCCCAGTAGAGTCATACCATCATGCAGTTTGCTCTGGCCAATTGGCCGTTTGCATCTGGATATGCCTAGTCTGATTTGTGGGCATCAGCACACAGATACAAAGTCATGAGGTGGGCAGCAACTGGGGATGCTGTCACACCATAGCCACATGCATGAGGGGTGGGGGTCCACAAGCTGTCATGGAAAGTTTAACATTGGCTGGACAGGGCATATGCATAACTTACCTAACTTCCATGCCAATCCTCCACACTGGGAACACATTGGGGCTTTTCTGAAAGCTTCCTCCATCCAGAAGTATCCCCAGAAGTCCCTGGGTCTGCTACTGCCTAATGCTTCTCCTTTGTCTTTATGCCTACAGATGTGAATGAATGCGATGTCTTCCCCAGCGTCTGTCCCAATGGTCGCTGTGTGAACACAGGCGGCTCCTTCCGATGCGAGTGTCCAGAAGGGCTGACTCTCGATGGAACTGGCAGGACATGTGTGGGTGAGGATCACTCCCTCAGCAGATCATAGTTTTCCTTCAGTCTCTTATGTACCCAGGCTACACTGTCCACTACAGTACACTACACACCTCCTGTCAAGGGAGGTGTTGGGGACCCAAGCACCTTCTGGACTTCTTGCATCTCAAGAAGCTGAGACTGGCCATGGTCACAGGCTGGAGAGAGAGAGGGAGTAGAGTGCAGTGAGGGCAACTGAGTGTGTTCTTTTTGTCTAAAATACCCAAGGGGTGGCTGAAAGAAGGGCTCGGACACTTGACATAGCACTAATGTGTGGTGGGATTTGTTTAGCTTAGGGCTGTCCAACTTCTAAGCAGGCAGGGGCCACACGCTGTGTGGGCTGCACTAACATAAGCCACTGGCCCCTTGGGCATTCTTGCACTGCACCACGCACACAGGAACATCCACGTCTGCCCTATGCAGTGTGCATGGGAGGCCAGACAATGAGGCCCAGCCAGCACATGTCTGTGTGGTCCCCTATCTGCGTGACATGGGAAGAGTATAATGTGTCCAGAAATGGTCAAACTTTTAAAGCTTAGGAGAAAGGATGGGAGGGGATCTGAGAATGCAGGGAAAAGCCTTTCACTTCTAGCTGGAATCCAGGGTGCGGCAAGGAGATGGAGAAGAAGTGCAGAGGGAGAACTGTTCCCAAAGCAATCCCAACACAATCCCAGAGCAATCCCAACACAGTGCAAGTAAGTGCAGTGATGTAGGTGTCAGTTCCCCGTTGTTATACCAGAACACCCCGTTAGCCCAGCTCTGTGCAGCTTCCTCTGGGGTCACAGCAGCAAACTGCTGCCCTGAGCTGAGTGCCACTATTGCCCACTTTACTGAGTGGGTAAGTAGTGGTTCTCAACTGTTTTAGACCCCAGTCCCCCTCTATAACTTAACTAAATGTAGTGGCACCCCATTTAAAAAAACAAACGTATTCATTACAGTGAAGGGGAAGTTTGCTTGGAAACTCTCTCTCACATTCCTTCACTGTAAGCCTGCTGAGAGTAAAGAGGTTTGCAGGGAAAAGGGAAACCTTCAGGAACAGGGAACAGCAAACAGGCCAGCCACAGAGGAGTTTTCTAGGTAAGGTCTGCTTGGAAAGACAGGCACACCGTGAGAAGCAGCAGATTAAAAGACAAAGAGGCATGGCTGGAGGATGTCACAATTCCAGCGCCACTGCCATTTCCAGCTTTCCCTCTGCTTGCACCTGTGACGTCTGTCCAGACAAGACCACACACTGTTGAGGTTTCCTCCAGGTCCTGGTTTGGTGCTATGTAGACTGCGACTTGCAGATTCCTTCCCATATCAGCCAGGTGAGGGAGTGCCTGTAGTGCAAGTGGTGTCTTCTGCTGGTGTCTGTCAGGGCCAGGCAAGAGAGCTATAAGTGAAGGTAGCAAGGCTCCGAAGCATCCCCCGACATGAGGACTTCATTGATTCCATGCTGGAGGAGACCTCTAGGACTGTGATGGAAGGACAGCCAGAGGTGGTGCTAGAAAAGGAAGAGGGCATGGACTCCCAGGAAGGTGGAAGCTGGAAGCTTGTATCTTCTGCCAGCAAGAAGAAATCATCACCCCCACCTGCAATGGTTTGCCTGGAGAACAGATATGGAGCACTGGCAACAGAGGAGGAGAGCATTCCATTGGTGGAAGAAGCCAGGCCAGGCATCCCCAAGGTTGGAGGACTGAGACCACTGCCATGAAGAAGTGATGAGTGGTGGTGATTGGAGACTCCCTTCTGTGCGGGATGGAGGGGATCCATCTGCCAGCCTGACAAGTTGTCCCAGGAGGTGTGCTGTTTGCCTGGAACCTGGATCCGAGATGTCATGGAAGAATTACCAAGACTCGTCCAACCCTCTGACTACTACCTCATGGTGCTCATTCATGTGGGCACCAGTGATACTGCCAGAGGTGACCCTGAACAGATCAAGAGTTGACTACAGGGCTCTGGGTGCAAGGGTGAAGGGAACAGGGGGCACAGGTTGTGTTCTCCTCAGTCCTTCTGGTCAAGAGGAAGGGCCCTGGCAGGAACAGACACATCCTGCAGATCAATGCATGGCTGTGCAGCTGGTGTTGCCGGCAGGGATTCGGCTTCTTCGACCATGGGACGTTGTTCCAAGAAGAAGGATCGCTGGGAAGAGACAGGATCCACCTGACAAAGAAAGGGAAGATAATCTTTGCAAACAGGCTCACTAATCTAGTGAGGAGGGCTTTAAAATAGGTTTACTGGGGGATAGAGAACAAAGCCCTGAGGTAAGTGAGGAAACGAAGGACATGGAGAAAGCAGAAGCAGGAGGGGGCAGTGGGGGAGACCTCGTTCTTCCTGAGAAAGTACTCAGTTTGTCACCTCGTGTGCCTGTACATGAATGCAAGGAGCCTGGGAAACAAGCAGGAAGAATTGGAAGTCCTTGTATAATCACAGAACTCTGACATGATTGGGATAACAGAGACTTGGTGGCAAGCGGGGACTGCCTGCAGCCGCTGGTGGCCATGTCAGCACCGGGGCAGGGGGGCAGCAACCAGCGAGGGGGGCCGGCTTCAGTGGCAGGCAATCTCGGGGGGGGGAAGGGGCACGTGCCCCCTTGTGCCCCCCCTACACAGCACCTATGGCTGGGAGGGCAATACAGCAGTGCTCAGGCAATCCAGGACGTTTTTTGAGAGTATTGGAGACAACTTCCTGGTTCAAGTGTTGGAGAGCCCAACTAGGGGCTGTGCTCTTCTTGACCTACTGCTTACAAACAGGGAAGAATTGGTGGGAGGCATAGAAGTGGATGGCAAGTTGAGCAGCAGCGACCATAAGATGATTGAGTTTGGGATCCTGACAAAAGTAAGAAAGGAGAGCAGCAGACTACAGACCCCGGACTTCAGAAAAGCAGACTTTGGCTCCCTCAGGGAACTGATGGGCAGGATCCCTTGGGATACCAGTCTAATGGGGAGAGGATTTCAGGAGAGCTGGCTGTATTTTAAAGAAACCTTACTGAGGACAAAGGAACAAACCAACCCAATGTGCAGGAAGAATAGCAAATATGGCCAGCAACCAGCTTGGCTTAACAGAGAACTCTTCAGTGAGTTTAAACACAAAGGCTAGGGACAGACACTAAAAAAGCCTGCCCAGCCCAGAGAGCATGCCAGGATACTGGGGGAGTCTGATTTAATTTAAACCAGCAAGGGGTCTGGGACAGACATTGCATAAACTGCTTTGAGCCAAATCAGTTAAGTCTGATATGACATTCAATCAGGTTTATCTCAGACTGGTTTCAGCCATCTCAAACTGGTTTATGCGCTTGAGCATCTGTTCTGTTACAGGTTTAAACCAGTTTCTGATCACATAAACTGGTTTATGTGTAATGTGTGTCCCTAGCCAAAAAGGAAGCTCATAAGAAGTGGAAGCTTGGACAAACAACTTGGAGGGGCGGAGGGAGAGTATAAGAGCATTGTTCAGGCATGAAGGGATGATGTCAAGAAGACCAAAGTGCAACTGGAGTTGCAGCTAGTCAGGGACATGAAGGGTAACAAGAAGGGTTTCTACAAGTATGTCAGCAACAAGTGGAAGATCGGGGAAGTGTGGGTCCCTTACTGAGTGAAGGAGGCAACCTAGTGACAGAGGATTCAGAAAAAGCTGAAGTGCTCAATGCCTTTTTCACCTCAGTCTTCACAGACAAGGTCAGCTCCCAGACTACTGCACCTGGCAGCACAGTTTGGGGAAGAGGTGAGCAGCCATCAGTGATGAAAGAACAGGTTAGGGACTATTTAGAAAAGCTGGATATGTACAAGTTCATTGGGCTGGATGCAATGCATCCAAGGGTGGTGAGCGAGTTGGCTGTTGTGATTGCAGACCCACGGGCCATTATCTTTGAAACCTCATGGTGATCAGGGGAGGTCCCGGACGATTTGAAAAGAGCAAATACAGTACCCATCTTTCGGAAAGAGAAGAAGGAGGATCCAGGGAATTACAGACCAGTCAGCCTCACCTCAGTCCCTGGCAAAAGCATGGAGCAGGTCCTCAAAGAATCCATTCTAAGCACTTGGAGAAGAATGTGGTGATTAGGCACAGTCAGCATGGATTCACCAGGGGCAAGTCATGCCCGACCAACCTGATTGTCTTCTATAATGAGGTGACTGGCTCTGTGGATGTGAGGAAAGCTGGAGACAAGTCTGCTAGAGGTTAGCAAGGCTTTTGATACCGTCTCCCACAGCATTCTTGCAAGCAAGCCAAGGTAGTATGGGTTGGATGAATAGACTGTTAGATGGTAGGAAGCTGGCTGGATTGTCAGGCTCAATGGGTAGTAAACAATGGCTCAATGTCTAGCTGGCAGCCAATATCAAGTGGAGTGTCCCGGGGTCAGTCCTGGGGCTGGTTTTGCTCAATATCTTCATTACCAATCTGGAAGAAAGGGGTGGATTGCTCCCTCAGCAAATTTGCAGATGACACCAAGCTGTGGGGAGTTGTAAATACACTGGAGGGTAGGGCTAGGATTCAGAGAGACATAGCCAAATTGGAGGATTGGGCCAAAAGTAATTTCACGAGGTTCAACAAGGACCAGTGCAAAGTCCTGCACTTAGGACAGAAGAATCCCATGCACCAGTACAGGCTGGGGACTGGCTGGCTGGGCAGCAGCTCTTCAGAAAAGGACCTGGGGGTTACAGTGGACAAGGGTTTGGATATGAGTCAGCAGTGTGACTCGTTGCCAAGAAGGCTAACAGCATACTGGGTTGCATTAGTAGGAGCATTGCCAGCTGATCAAGGGAAATAGTTATTCTGATCTATTTAGCACTAGTGAGGCCACATCTAGAGTCCTGTGTTCAGTTTCAAGCCCCGCACTATTGAAAGGATGTGGATAAGTTGGCGAGTCCAGCAGAAAGCAATGAAAATGGTTCGGGGCTGGGGCACATGATGTATGAGGAGAGTCTGAGGGAACTGGGTTGATTTAGTCTACAGAAGAGAAGACTGAGAAGTGATTTGATAGCAGCCTTTAATTAGTGTGGTTCCAGAGAGGATGGAGCTGGACTGTTCTCAGTGGTGACAGGTGGCAGAACAAGAACCAATGGGCATTTTTACACATGCAAGCACCGCAGCACTAGGCACTTTTCAAAGTGCCTGGCACTGCAACTCTTACAGTTGTATACGTGGCAAAATGCACGTCAGTGCTGAGAAAATAGCAGCAGCGTGCTTTTGAGCTCAAATGCATCAAAGGTGCTTTGGTTCAAAAGTACACCATTGCCATTTTCTGTGCGCTGACATACATTTCTCTGCTTATACAACTGCTAGCAACGCAGCGCAGTGCATGTCAGTTCATGTGCCTCTAGAGGATCTGAAGTGGTGGATCTCCAGCATATTGTGGGACCAAAAAGTATGTCTATAAATGCTCAGTGGTCTCAAGTGACAGCCAGAGAGGTTTAAGTTGGATATTAGGAAAAGCTTTCTCACGAGGATGGTGGTGAAGCAATGCAACAGGTTATCTAGAGAGGTGGTGAAATTTCCAACCTTGAAGGTTTTTAAGGTCTGGCTAGGATGATCTAGTTGGGGATGGTCCTGCTTTGAGCAGAGGGTTGGACCAGATGACCTCCTGAGGTCCCTTCCGACTCTAAATTTCTATGATTACAGTGCATAACAACTAATATGCAGATTCTGTATAAATAAATTTGTCCATTATGTCAGTTGTAGACAGTCATGAAGGGAGACAACCTGTGCCCTGGTCCTCTGTGATTGCAGAGAGCAGTATTTCCTTCACCTGACCTGCCCCAGGTCTCTCAGGTGTCTCATGGGATTCTCGAGAGACAGGAAGATGGCACAGCCAAGCTGCAGGCAGGTTTGTCACAGCTGAGCCACAGAGCTGGGCAAGTGAGAAATTGGAAGCCAGACTGGGGTGCCCAGGCAGGCTTTTCTGCATCCAAGGACCAATGCCAACTGGTCCTTGCCCGCCAAGCATCCCAGCTGGCAGTCGAGAGCACAGCGCATACAGCATACTGAGAGAAGGTCAGGGTCTCAGTTCCCAGCTGGGGGAATTAGCACTGAAGTCTGGAGTAGTGCTGCTTTGTCCCAGCTGAGCCGGGCAGGGGCAAGGCTGGTACTTACTGCAATGTATGCTAGCTAGCTGACCTCCCAGAGGCATAACTAATAAGGTTTGCATCCTGGGCCAGTATTTTCCATTGGGCCCTGCTGCAGGTCCCCTCTGCATGCTGTGATGCAGCTTGCTCCAGTGCATTGTCCTTCTCTGCCTGCTCTATGCATTTCTCTGTACCCCCTCTGCAGCACAGCACCCAAGCACCTGCTGCCTCCCTAGCCATCCCTAATCAGTGCTGAGGGTTTCTCTTGAGCTGCACACAGTATAGGGGAACCATAAGGGGGCATGAGAAATGCTGGCCCAGGGCACAAACCAACAGGAGGAGGGGACCTGGGGACATCTCCAAGTCAGGGCCTGGGGGCTTACAGCCCGCTCACTTCCCTGCTCCTTACACTGCTGTGACCTCACTTCAGGCCAGGCTGCAACTCCTACAGCAGCTGGTTCCTGATCTGGCCCTGCACATTTCCTCTTGGAAACAGAGGCACGTCAGGGCAGTTCCACCTGGTGGCAGCGTGGTACAACACCCCTAAAAAGATCTCATAGCACCCAGCTGAGAATCAGTGGGGTAGGGCATTAGTGTCACACTACAGCCATGGGGCCACTGACTTTGTCTAACAACCACGGTGGCAGGTACTGGCTGCTCCCTGGGCAGCCAGCTTCTGTTTGAGGAAGCACAGGATAGGTGATACAGGGTCTTTGGCTCACCTGTCTAGGGACAGATCCTGTTTTAAAGGGGCACAAGCAGGACCCAGCTGTTCCAAGGGAACCAGGACACCAAAAAAAGTCCTCTAGTGAAGAATCTTGCAAGCAGCAGTTCTCCGCCATCCATCCTAACTGGGGTAATGAAGGGAGTAGAGGGGGACCGGACTTCAGTAGGGATGTGAAGTAAGGAGCCCACTGCCTTCTGTCAGCCCACTGAAGTACAGGTGCAGATCCCTGGAAAGGTCACCCAAAGGTAGTGATGAATCCCACCAGTGTGAGATGTACTGTAGGACTGCCCCCTTGTACTGGGGACTGCCCCAAATAATAGTGTCCCAGGTGGCCTTCCTTCAGTATTAGGTACTAAAGTGAGTCTCAGGTCTGTTGTCTCCCCAGATGTGCGTGTAGAACAGTGCTACATGAAGTGGGATGAGGATGAGTGCAATGAGCCCCTGCCTGGGAAGTACCGGATGGACGTATGCTGCTGTTCTGTGGGCTCAGCCTGGGGCATTGACTGTGAAGAATGTCCCAGAGTTGGCACCAGTGAGTACAAGGCTATCTGCCCAAGGGGGCCAGGCTTTGCCAACAGAGGAGATGTGCTCTCAGGCAGACCCTTCTACAAAGGTAAGAGAACAATTGATCTCTCGGGGTGCAAGTCTGTTCTTTGCTTCAGACATGCTCACAGGACCCAGCCCCTGACCTAGGAGTCTCTAGCTGAGAGTCATCTGGGAAGCCTCCTCACTGATGTTGTGCCTGCTTTCCACAGATGTGAATGAGTGCAAGGTCTTCTCTGGTCTCTGCACTCATGGGACTTGTCGAAACACAATTGGCAGCTTCAGATGCATCTGTGGCAATGGCTTTGCTTTGGATGCTGAGGAGAGAAACTGCACAGGTAAGGGAGAAGAGCCCTCCCCCTCCCTCTCCAGTACCTGTTCTGGCCCCCAGGCTACTCTGCTGGGAGGGGTGAATTGTGCTGCCTGCCTTTTGTCTGTAGTAATGCTGGGGAAGCACACTGTCAGCTTCATGTTCAGAGTGCAAGAGACCCTGAACAGACAGGTTGTCCTCCGGATTTACCTGAGTCTAGGGGCAAGACTCCACATTGGGAGACCTCCTAGGGCATAAGCAGAAGCCCTGAAGAGCTCTTTTCAGCTCTCCCTCTTGCTCTCCTTTTTGCAGTAATCTATGTCTGCACAGAAGGCAGCTCATATGATACGTCTTTCCCCGGACATGCCATCTCCAGCAGCCATTACAAGCCTGTCCAGACCAAGGGACTCATTCCCTCATTCAGGCATCAGCCACAGCTGAGACCCTAATTCCCCCTGTCTAAGTCTAGTACACAGCAATGCCTGCAACTTGTCCTGGAGCTCAGGTGTTTGGTGTGTTTTCAGGCTGAGACTCTTTTTCCTACAGATATCGATGAGTGTCGCATCTCACCAGACCTGTGTGGCCATGGCACCTGCATCAACACTCCAGGCAGCTTTGAATGCGAGTGCTTCGAGGGCTATGAGAGTGGGTTCATGATGATGAAGAACTGCATGGGTAAGACAGAATTCCTGGCAGGGCAAGGACTCTGCCAACCACCTAGGGGACTGCCACAGGAGGTGATGAGGCAGTATCGTCCCTTCCACCACTTCAGCACCCAGCTCTGGGCCCGGACATGAAAGGGCACTACAGACCACGTTCACATCTGTCTGTCTAATTAACCAGCTTCCTGGGTTTTTATGCAGTGCTGTGCTACTGCAGCTGAGCACCAGTGACTCCTTGGAACTCCTGCTTGCAAAGTACTTACGGGATTGGGACCTTGTGGGGTTTTGTTGGGGTTTTTTTGGTTTTGGTTTTGGGGTTTTTTTTGCTTCTAAGCAGGCTGTGGTGAGTCTCCTGTCCATTAGGCTCCACTGGCAGAAGCACTGTGGTATTCTGGCCACCCCTCCATGAACTGGGCTGTACAGTAGTCCTGGCATTGTGAAAGGGGAGGACAGGGTGTACCAAGGCTCCCTTGCATAAGAGATTTGGATAGTCACTTTTCTCCCCAGGTGAGTGACTCTCCAAAGAGCCAAAGACCCCTCAGCATGAAGCAGGGATAAGACCAGTCTCCTGGGTCCCAGTGCCAAGTCTCTGGCAGAATGAGTATGCCTGTGTATGGGAAAGGGAATTGCTCCCTTTCCTCATACCCTTCCTTTATCACTCATCTCTCCCATGAAGAAGAGAGAGGCTAACCAGCCCACTGTTCCTACTGGCCATGATCACATAGGCAAGTCTGTCCTGGCTGCAGCTGGCTCTGCTGTGGAGAGCACTGCTGAGCCTGTGTCAGGAGCTTAGTGTGGACAGAAAGACAAAGAGCAGGGAGCATCCAGAGAGCGAGATCACCCATGGGAAAGAGCTTGGCTCATCATCCCCATTGTAGTCAGCACTCAGGCAAAATTGAGTTCTCCCTCCCTGGAACTGCAGAATTAGTCCCACATTTTAATCATTCCCACCTGGCATTTCTGGAGGAAAAGAGAAAAATCTTTCCCACACCTGGAAAATCTCAGGCTGGGATTTGTTCAGGACCCTCTGTGAAGAGATGATGTGAAGCTCAGTGGCGCTGCACTGGATTCTGGGATCTATTGGACACATGGCACTACAGGACTCTCCAAGGATGAGAAGGCTTCTCGGAGGCAAGCAAGGAGCCAATAAGCAGAGAACCTTGAAGTGCTTGTGTCTAGAGTGGTGCATATCTCAGCAGAAGCCTTACTTGGCTAAAATTCCCATCTATCCCAGACATTTCTGCTGAGAAGAAACTGTTTCTCCCATCTGAGACAAGGTTGTGTTTAAGCAAATGCCTTTTTTCATGGCAGCAGTGAGACTGTTCTCAAAATCTCCTTAAGATACAAGGCCAATCCTCCATACTAGCTGGTGCTTGGGAGCCTGTCTGTGCTCTGGAATTCATAATTGTCTTTGCAGTCATGACCTCGGTGGAAACAGCTCCCAGGCTGTTCTCAGAGTTGAGCCTTCCTACCAGATGGGTATTCCACTCCCTTTCTCTGCCCCACCCACTGAGTCTTAATGGCTTTCAAAGGGATTCATGCAAAAATGCACCATCACCTGCTCAGAACTTCACTATAAGCTTCACAAAACACATTCATACCAGCCCAGCGAGAAGGCTGAAGGACCGATTCTATGCTCAGATCAGGGGTGTACCCTGCAGTCTGTGCAACTGCTGCTCCCCTATGTGGCACCGTCCACCACAAAGAATAGCTGTGGTATTCAACCTTTTTTACCTCAAGGCTCCCTCCATAACTTCTCTGAATTTAGCATCACCCCAGTTGAGAATCAGTGAGCTAGAATCTAAATTCAGACAAGTTATGGAGGGGGACCTTGAGAACCACTCATCTAGCTGGTACCAGGTCATGGCAACGGGGGCAAAACCTGACCCCACCTTGCCCTCTTCTTCCCATCATTTTCCCTTTCCTGACCGCCTCCCCCGCCCCTCCAACCCCATCTGTACCTGAAGGGGCAAGGGTAGCTCCTGCCATCAAAGCTGCTCATTCAGATCTTACACACCAACAACTATAGCTATATGCCCCTGCGGCCTCTCCCATAGGCCCAAGAGTAGGGAGGGAAGTGGGATAAGAGCTCCAGATCCCTACATCCACCTGTTCACCCACCCAATGACAGACTGTGCTGCTCACAGCATCGGGGCCACTAGCACTGGAGCTATGCGGAGAAAGGGGAGGAAGGACAACAGCAGCAGTTTCCAAAGGAGCAGCTACAAACACTGCTGGTCTGTGGGAGGCAGGGGCAGCATGGGGCACAGGACAGAGAGGGGAGAGCACTTGTGTCCTTCCATAGGGGCCAGGTACCATAGCACCTTTAAAGTGATCTCACAGCACCCCAGGGTGCTGCAGCACCCCAGTTGAGAATCACTGGCATAGAAAGAGTCTGGATCCCAGTCTAATTCCTATGGAAGTCAGTGAGAGTGTGAGAGGGATCAGGCTCAGATGTCAGGAGGCTGGTGCATGTACGGCATTCTCTGTACTGATCTTTGTGTCCTGCCACAAGCAATGAGGGCCCGTGGGCACAGTGTCACTCTGCCATCCAAGACGAGTGTGCGTTGGAGATTCTGGTTGGTGACAGCACTGCTGTAAGTCTCTACAGTGCATTGCAGCCCTCATGCGGCACTTCCCAAGTGCCAGCTAAGCCACTTTGCAGGGCTTGTGCACTGTGAATCGCTGATGTGGCCATTCTGCGTAAAGGCTACTGCTAGTGTATCTCAGCTAATGTGTTTGTTCTGCTGACACAGCTCAAGCATTGACTAGAAGGGCTGGGAACAGATGCATGTAGCATTTAGTCTGGAATTCTAACAAAACTTGGCTCAACCCCAAATCTCCCTTGTTCAGCATGCTCCAGCTAGGGAGAGGACTTTGAGAGTGGGTATGCAACGAGGCCTGTACAAAGCTAACTAGCATGGGAGTCAGGAGCCAAAATTTTCCCTGCAAAATGGGGCCTTCCACTCCATGAATGAGTGGAAATTCACTCCAGATTCCTAACATGGCCTCTTCTAGGTTCTCAGATGTGTTGCTGTTTTATCTTTTGATAATGTGGGCAAATTTGTAAGGCGAATGTCTGCCTGGTTTCAGTGGTGCTTCTAGGATGATGGTCCTTGGTGTTAGTGTCATGCATTACATGGAAACAACAGCTGAAATGTTGAACTGACTGAGTCCTTGTGTCCTGCTCTCTGCAGATATTGATGAGTGTGAGCGGGACCCCCTGCTCTGCCGTGGCGGGATCTGCGTCAACAATGAGGGCAGCTTTGAATGCATCTGCCCCCCAGGCCATGAGCTAACCACTGAAGGCCATGCCTGCGTAGGTGAGCTGATAGACTAGATCTGGGCATGACTGTAGGAGGCCCTTCTCATTCACCATTAGCAACCACAGGAGAGCCTGTGACCTGAGCCAGTTCACCAGAGATTTGTACCCCTCGCCATTTACTACCCTCTGTGTGCTTAATCCTTAGCCCATGCTGGGTACATGCAACTCCCACTCAGGTCACTGGGGAATTGAGGATACTCTGCATTCCAAGGATTGGGCCCAAGGATCTGGTCACTCCCAGAGCTTCCTTTTATTTACCTGCTGTCCCTAAGACTTGATTGAGAGGGCAGTGAGTGAGGGATGGTATCCTGACTGCCTAGGTGACAGCACTGTGAGCAGAGGGTAAGCTAGGAAGAGGTCTGTGAGCAAAGGTTAATCCAGCTGATGCTGTACAGAGCTACAGCAGGGATCTGTTAGAGGTATAGCCATCAGGATTAGGATCCTCTGGTTCTAATTGTTTGGAAGTTTAAATAGTACCTAGTGCTTTGACAGGAGCGTTAATTGGGAGGAGCTGCAAACCAGGGAGCGCAGGGAAGTGCCCTATAGGAATACAGGGAGAGCTGAGACATGACAACCTGGGAGCTACAGGTGGGCAGACATGAGGGACTGGCCTAGTTCCTCCACTCTATGGGGAGCTGTTGGAGAAGAGCAAAGGAAGAAGGACAGGAACTTGGGTAAGTTTGCAAAGAGGAGTGGGGCAGTGGGGCAGGCAGGTCTGGGAGTACAGGGACACCACTGGAGTCATTATTAACAAGCTGAATTCTCTTTAGCAGCATTGAGGGGTGGGTTATACCCAAGCAGTGCCCTGTACACTGATTAATCCTTTTTCTCCAACCCAGATATCAACGAATGCTCTCTCAGTGATAACCTGTGCCGCAACGGGCGCTGTGTCAATGTCATCGGCACATACCAGTGCACATGTGACTCAGGCTTTCAGGCCACTCCAGACAGACAGGGCTGTGTTGGTGAGTCCTCCTGCTTTATTTTCAATGAGGTATCCAGAAGTAACTGAGCTCAATTCAGGAGTCTGTGGCCAGTATGTGAAAGAAGGCAGCAATGGTGATCACAGTAATACCTTCTGCCTTAGCTACTAATAAATCACCCAGTTGGAGTCAGAACAAGGGACTGTCTTTAACTCCATTTGAAATGGTATAAATAAGTGCTGCAAAGTACCCCCTTCAGGAGGGAGATGGGATGGGTATCTTCCCTTGGGCAGGAGAGTCACTGGGAGTGAATTCCAGTAATGCATTTATTAGCACTTGATGGTGTCCTGGGATATGCAGTGTTAAAGCAGCCAATGGGAATGAAGGAAGCATTTCCACTTCAGGGCCTTGGGGCTGTGAATCATGTCCCCTGAAGCCCACCAGGCAGGTATTATCTATCTGCACGGCTGCTTTCTGAGCCTGAGTGTTTTTTCCTGTGCAGCTAGCCATGTGCTGGCACTCACCTTGTTCAGCCACTTCTGCCTGTGAGGTATGTTCCCCAGCCAGTGGCTCTGGGAAGTGACTGACAAAGCGTTGTTTTAATGCAGATATTGATGAGTGCACCATCATGAATGGCGGCTGTGATACACACTGTGCCAATTCAGAGGGTAGCTACCAGTGCAGCTGCAGTGAGGGCTACGCACTGATGCCAGATAAGAGGTCGTGTACAGGTGAGTGGACAACGTGGCTGCTTGTTGGTGATGCTGTACAGAAGCTGTACAGGAATTTCTGGATGCACTACTGCCTCTTGTTATTTTGGAGTGATTTCCTGTGGCTTGGGAGGCAACATCTTTATGCCTTGTCTTGAGGGATCATGAACAGCGCATAGGGACATCCGACTCATGCTTCTGTCAGCACATAGCCATTCATACTGGTGAGCAACCCTGCCTCACACAGGCCTCACTTTCAACACTGATATAGTGCTGTCCCACACATGGGATGAGCACTTCTTATGTACTGATTGGCACTTAGTGCTTTGTGTCAACAAAGTTGCCTTGTGTGACATTGTCAGTGGTTGTTCACACTGATGTCATAACTCTGCCCCAGGGATTGATAGCCTCCACCAGCAACCAGCACACAGGAATGGCAGCATTCAGATCCTCACATGTGTGACATCCCCCCCCTGCCCTTTGCACAGCTGGGCACCCCAGTGCCCAGCCCTTTCTAGAATATGGATGCATGGAACAGGGGCTGCTGTCATACTAATATTACTTAATGGCCCAGGAACAATTAAACAGGTACATTCCATGCCCAGCATTGCCAACAGGGCCAGGCTCCAACACTACCTCCCCATGGGTCATCAAGTGTGCAGTCTGAGCCCAGCACTCAGCCGCTGTTTTTGATGTCTTGCCATTTGCAGCATTTGCTTCCCCCGTGGCATCTCATGGGTTACAGCCTCCCCCATGGACACAGATACAAACCGGCCTGCACATGGGCCCTCTGGCTCAGTGACATATGCAGCAATCTCCCATATCTAATAAACTACTGAGTATGCTCCCACACTGGACTGCCAGTGCTTTTCTGCTCCACAGATGTAATATATGTGCTAGGACAGGGGCACCGTTCCTTTCTCCCTCTGCAGATATCGATGAATGTGAGGATAACCCAGACATCTGTGATGGGGGCCAGTGCACCAACATCCCTGGGGAATACCGCTGTCTCTGCTTCGATGGCTTCATGGCTTCATTAGACATGAAAACATGTATTGGTGAGAATGACCCTCCCTCATGTCCATGGGCAGGCTCCATCACTGAACTGTAGTGCCAAGCCAGTGTCTGGTGGAGAGAGAAACTGCAACCCAGACCTGGGGCACTGACATTTGGGCAGGAGCAGAGTACTAAACTGTTCTTTTTATGCAGATGTGAATGAGTGCGACCTCAATCCCAACATCTGCCTTCATGGGGAATGTGAAAACACCAAGGGCTCCTTCATCTGCCACTGCCAGCTTGGCTACTTCGTCAAGAAGGGAACCACTGGTTGCACAGGTAGTATCTGGGAATGGCCAGCATATGGCAGTCAGTGAGGGTCCAAACTAAAGTCGTGAGACAAGGGATCAAGAGCAGGAGGGTCAGGAAATGGAGATCTGTGAGGGACCAAGATGTGAGTAGTCACCAAGATAGAGTCACAAGTCAGAGGGGTTAGCAGGAAGCTGGCATTCAGACTGAAGTCACTAGCCAGGGCATCTGAAGAAAGCAGCTGAAGCTGTAAGGAACAAGGACATGGCAATTGCTGAACTAAAGCTACAAGGCAGGGGACAGTTTTCAGAAGACAGGGTTCTGAACTGAAGTGAAGAGGGAAGGGGCCAACAGTCAGGGACCAGGAACTAGGAGCTAGACGTGGATTCAAGCAAGGCTTAGGAGCTAGGAGCCACACAAAGAGGCATCTCTCCTGTTGAGTAGCCTAAGGAATACTAAGAGGTCATCTGCTTATATCCAAGCAGATACGCCTGTAGGTATCTGGAGTCAGCTGGGCAGTCAGGCCCATTATGGTAATCAAAGCCAGCTTGGGCATTAGAGCCTGCCTGCTGCCATGGCTCCTGGCACCCCAGTCCATCCCAAAGGGTCCCAGAGACTTACTTCTCAGTCGGCCTTGTCTATCCCTGTAAGCACCCTGGAGATCAATCTTGTGTGAGCATAGACACTTCCTAAGGGACTCAAAGAAGCAAACTCCTAGTTCAGCTTGGTCCATACCTGTGAACTCAAGAGTCCAGTGTTCAGGCTGATACCAGCCCATAGGCTTCCCCTCCCTTCTCAAGGAAACCTGGATGTGTCAGGACTGACACTCTTCCTTTATGCAGATATCGATGAGTGTGAAATTGGAGCTCACAACTGTGACATGCATGCCTCATGCATCAATGTACCTGGGAGCTTCAAGTGCAAGTGCCGCACAGGCTGGCTTGGAGATGGTCTGAAATGCAATGGTAAGTTCCAGCCAAGGAGGGGAGGGGACTTCCATATTCCCTAGCCATTTGCACTTGGGGGTTCTAGGGGCTTATACATGCACTTACAGTTTTCCAGGTGCATGTATGTTCACACATACAGCATATGCATGCCTGCACGTGTACATCAGTGTTTCATGGGTCATACAGGTGTCCATGTACTGTAGCATCTTCCTAGATGTTTGCACTTACCAGTAAGGAATGTATTACCAGGAATTATGATGCACAGCCCAGGCTTTCCAAGGCCCAGACCATAACATGCAGTCAACCAGGCCAGTACTTAGACCCAGAGGCAAAGCTGCAAGTAGAAACTCTCTAATTGGGTTTCTTGCTCCCCCAGACTTGGATGAATGTGCCACTGAAGAACACAAGTGCAACCTGAATGCCAACTGTGTGAACACACCAGGATCCTACCGCTGTGCATGCCGAGAGGGCTTCAATGGGGATGGCTTTTCCTGCTCAGGTATGGAACACAGCCTCAGGTTTTGGAACAGCAAGAGCAAGGCCAGGATGCTCCATTCCAGGTCTGCCTCTCTCTTCTGCAGCTGTAGAAATTGTCTTACCATTGCCTGGCTAAGGCTGCCTTTGTCTGGTATCAGAGTTATGGAAAAGAGACTTCCTCTATCCAACCCATTCTCTAAGAGGCAAACAAAACTGTGATTGTCAGGTGTATTCCCTAAGACCAATCCAGCCTGCTGGTTACCTGTGAAATCCCTCATTTCAGCCCTCTTGATTACCTGTAGGGTGCTCTCATCTCAGCCTACTCAGTTAAACTTAGTATTCTCTCCATCCCAGCCTGCTCAGGTAGCCATGGGATCACACCATCCCTGTACTCTTGGTTATCTGTTGGGTCCTATCAAAATAGGCCTTCCACCCCAAGAGCATATCAAGAGGTTCTTCAAGACCTTCAAGACCTCCTGATACAATGTGTATGGAGATGTAGAATGTGATCTGGGACCAGGAGCCCTTTCAAAACATCATGTACCTGCATCAGATCCCTCTTGGAAAGTCATGAGAAAAAAACCAAGAGCCTCCATCCTTTTTCTGCAGGGCTGTCTCTCCCAGGTGCCCTTGATTCTGGGGAACAGGCATAAGCTAGAAAGTAGAGGTGCATGGGCATATTCTGGGGTGGGTGGGTGGGTGAGAGCTATGGCCTTTCCAACAATGCTGAATGCTTCTCATACTGAAATCCTCTCCCAGATGTGGATGAATGTGCAGACAATGTGAACCTGTGTGAGAACGGGCAATGCCTGAATGCGCCAGGAGGCTACCGCTGTGAATGTGAGATGGGCTTCAACCCTACAGAGGACAGCAAGGCTTGCCAAGGTAAGAGCTCAGAGTCTTGTAGCACAAGGCTCCTTCTGCCATCCCCTAGGAGATCCAGGGCCTCCACACAAAGCTGCTACCTGGAGCTGGGCGCTAATCCTCTGGTGCCAAGGGAGAGGTGTAAGGCTCTAGAGTTGTCACATTCACTGGCTCAGAGGGGAGCTTGAGTTTGATACCATGGTATGTAGAAGATCAAGGGAGTCTCTTCAAAAAGTACCAGGGCCAGAACACATGGGCTGACATTTTCCTCACCTCACAGCCCCTCTCACCCATCACTCACGACAATGGGAGCTCTGCAGCAGGTTTCAGCCAGCCATTTTCCTCTGCACCCCTGTTTGTCTGCTTCAGATTAGCAATTTCCAGGTGAGCCTGTGACTCCTGCAGACCCCAGGGGTCCTAAGACAGGAGCCAGGCCATTGTGTGATGAGAGGATGAACTCTCCATAGTTCTCAGAAAAAGGTGCCATCTGAAAACTGCTGAGCTAAGCCCCTGCTTCCATATCCAGCATCAGCAAGTGAAGGAGATGGTCATGTAGTGTATGGGGTGCATGCACACTAGACCCAGAATTGTTCTGAGCCCTCTCTTTCTTTTACAGACATTGATGAATGCACCTTCCAGAACATTTGTGTCTTTGGGACCTGCCAAAACCTTCCAGGGATGTTCCGCTGTGCCTGCGATGATGGCTACGAGCTAGATAGGAGTGGAGGCAACTGCACAGGTAGCTGGGGTTCCCAGAGGATAAGGTGGGAAACTGCTGTGGAGGAACCCATTTGCAGCTAGTGCCAAGAGTCACCTGCAGTGGTGAGGCTGGCCCTAGGTTGACCAGGGAAAGGCTCTGACAGCTGGAGCTAAGAGTTGTTAAGGATGCATAGTTTGAGTTGGCAGGGCTTTGTCTGAATGGCTCTGTGAGACTGACAAACTTCAGACAGCTGGCGGTAATCCAGATGTGTGGGACTGAGTGTGGCGTCTGAGCCCTAGAGGCATCAGGAGAAGGCCAAAACTTTCTCTGGAAGGGCAGTTTCCCATCATATGAGAGTCCTTAGAGTGTCCCCCCATCATGTGGGTATGTGGAGAGGCAGTCCATGTATGTACACAGCTTCAGGACATAGCTGAGTTTTCCACAGTGACCAGTGACTGCTCCTGATTACAAGTCTTCCCTCTCCCTTCAGATATCAATGAGTGTGCAGACCCTGTGAACTGCATCAATGGTCTGTGTGTCAACACCCCAGGCAGCTACTTGTGCAACTGCCCCCAGGACTTTGAGTTGAACCCTACTGGTGTAGGATGCGTGGGTGAGTGCAACCCTGTCCATACTCCTTAGTCCCTACTCCAAGTCCAAGCCAGCTGTTCCAGACCCAAGCAGCACTGGTGCTGGCCATTGCCACATTTAGGGATCAACAGTACAGGAAGTCACCAGCTCTGGAAAAACTGTCTCTCTAGCCCCAGGCTCTTCATGGTTGATTCATAACCTGGAATCAAGGATGTTAGAGGGGAGGAGGTAGGGAAGGATATGAATTGCAGACGGTTACTAGCCTGTCTAATGTAACTAGAAATAGGTTAAGTCTCTGGAAAAGCACTTAGTCCTGTTTTACATTGTCTTCCATCAGAGCTAATGGCAATTTCACAGATTAACACTAACTGTGAAAAGGCCTGTTTTTATTATCATCTGGTTATCTTCTATGAGCCCCACAACCCTCTCTTAACAGCCTCGTTTCCGAGTGCCCTGGCATGTGACACATGCTCCATCATGGAAGCAGGGTTTGTTAGTTAAATTAGGCGTCCTGTGCTGGCAAGACCGCTGACTGCAGCAAAACAGGAGCATTGCACGGGAAGAAATCAGCCCAGCTGTTTGCATGTGCCCCACTAACTGTAATAAAAAATAGCAGGTGACCACTTCAGCACTGTGGAGACCGAATGCTACAGATCCCTTCTGTGCTCAGAGAGGACAGTTCCTGTGCTTGCAAGAGGCTTCCCATGTTGTCTCCCAAATCTTCTGAAACTTCTGGGTTCACTGACCACACTGGCTTCACTGACACAATAAATGGGTCTTTCCTCTTGCCCTCTAGGCCTGTGGCTGGCATTGGCTGTGCAGGGAGGGGTTTTGCTCCCACAGATCTGACTCTCTCTTTCTGTACAGACACCCGTGTTGGTAACTGCTTCCTGGACACTCAGGACCGAGGGGATGGTGGGATCTCCTGCAGTGCTGAAATCGGAGTTGGAGTCACTCGAGCCTCCTGCTGCTGCTCGCTGGGCCGTGCCTGGGGCAATCCCTGTGAGCTCTGCCCTCCTGCAAATACAAGTGAGTCGAGGAACTCTGGGGGATGAACCTCATGCACAGCTAGGGTTAGAGCTTCCGCCTGTTCCAAAAGGCAAGGCAGATTAGAGCTGCAAGACGGAAATGGGCTGCATTTCAGTGGGGTTCATCGGTCAGGGTGGCAGGCCCCATCAGGGCTCGTCATGCCAGCTCAGGATAGAACAGGCTCTGCCATATGGTTACAGGAGGGTGTGACAGACCAAGCAGAGGTGTATCATTTCAGATCCATGTGGGGTGGGCTGTGCTAGGGGGCTGGGTGAGGTGTGACCAAATATACTAAGGCACGATGTACCTGATCAGTACAAGCTGGGCTGAGCCCTGGGGTAGGTTGTAGCAGGCTGGGCTGGAATGTGTTGTTATGGGTCTAGGTAAGATTGGCCATACTAGGGCTTGGGTGGTGTGTGGCAGTCTATGCTAGGACACAGCATATCTAGGTTGAATGAGCAGGCTGAAGTGCAGTGTAACAGACTTGGCTCAGATGCATCATTCTAACTCCAGGTGCATTGGCTGGGGGCAGAGGTGTGATAAGGTGCTCTGAGTGTGATTGATTGGGTCAGGCAGCTCCACCTGCCTCCCCACATTAACACGCAGGGCCTCTCTCTGTCCTGGGTTCTCACTGGTTTCTCCTTCTGGCCCTGCTCCATGGTGAGCCTCTCAACCTTACCTAACTCTCTTTCTCCAGCGGAGTACAAAACCCTGTGTCCTGGAGGAGAAGGCTTCAGGCCCAACCCCATCACTGTCATCCTGGAGGGTAAGCAGAATTGGCTCATCTGCAGAAGCCCAGCTGCCCTAAGGCTGTGGAGTCACACCAGCAAGAGGTGTTGCCTGCCCCAATATCCCAAGCCAAGGCCTGTTGTCAGTCCTGTGGCCTGAATTCACTGGACCTTCTGTGCCACGTAGCATGTAACAGGCCTGGTGTCTCTGAGCCTTTGCTGTGCAGACCCCAGCTTGTACGTATTCTGGCTCCATGGAAGTCCAGGGCAGCAAGTTTCATGTGATGTCTCCCTGCCCCTGTGGGATGAGAGTGCTTCCTTGCCATTCTCTGTTGACAGATATCGATGAGTGCCAGGAACTGCCAGGTCTGTGCCAGGGAGGCAACTGTGTGAACACATTTGGCAGCTTCCAGTGTGAGTGTCCCCTTGGCTACTACCTAAATGAGGATACACGCATCTGCGAAGGTATTGCACTCTCATGCATGTGTGTATGTGTACGTGTGTGGCATGTGTACATGCTAGGGAGCATGCCTTCATGGCTGGCCTCACCCAGTTAGCACGTGGCTGGTTGTGTCTCAGGAGATCCACCTGTGTTCACTGCCCTTTTCTCCATTCCCTGTTCTTAATCCAGAGGCCTCAGGCCCAGTCCCAAACTCAACTGTGGATAGTCCCCCACTCTGTTCAGAAGGATAAGTAAGAAGTCACCTCCATCTGCAGAGCTCCACAGCTGACACAGCCTCAACCTAACAAAGTAGTGCTTATGTCTGAACTGGGTCCTCCCTGTTGGGTGGGATGGACCATGGCCCTTTCCCCAGTTCCCTGTCAGGGCTGAATCCCCACCCCTATGTCAGACCTCACTTACTGAATCTGCTTTAAGCCTCTGCCCATCCTGCCCCGCTGACCTGTGTCACACACTGTGCTTTACCTGCCCCTGCTCTGTCCCATCTGCCCCACTCCCCCTACCTTGTGCCTATCAGTTAAATCTCCAACATTACTGTTTTGGCAGATATTGATGAGTGTTCAGCCCACATTGGGATTTGTGGCCCTGGAACCTGCTACAACACCCTTGGCAACTACACCTGCGTCTGCCCCCCTGAGTACATGCAGGTCAATGGAGGAAACAATTGCATGGGTATGGCACTATCTGCATCTGGGAAAGATGTGGGGCTGGGGATGCCCCAGCTAAGCAGGGTCTCTGCCAGGCTGTACTTACAGCATTTCAGGCATTCTAGGTCAAACCAGAGAGCAGAGAGTGTGGTGAGAAAGTAGTGATAGCAGGGGTGTAGCAGGTTGGGACTCACTGATGACCCTGGGTGAGTCACTTTCCCACAGTGACCTGCTTGCAGCAGCAATAGTGGTAACTAGTTGGTTCTTGCAGGGAGCAGCAAGGGTCTGAGCAGGGCAATGCTTCTCACCATTCTGCCTTCCACTCCTGGGTTGCTTCTTACTGGAAAGCTGACCAGAGACACAAATCAGGGAATAGAGGAGAGTGTATTCAACTGGACATTCTTGGGACCAGTCACTCTATCCTTGTCACTGTGTTGAGTCTGTGACCACAAGTCTGTGACCACTGCCAGTCCCTTGACAAGCCCAAGGATTAGCGCCAGAGCTTTGTGGCAAGAATCTACTGCTGGTGGCATCCCTGCCTGTTGCACTGTGGAAGGGGGCCTGGTTTGGAGGTGGTGTAGGCTCTGTGCCCACCTCTGCAACTAGCTCACTGAGGGGACTTGGCTAGCCATGTTGGGTCTGGAAGTCAGTTTTCATCTCTGTAGAGCAGAGATGTCCATTCCATTCATGCAGCTATTGGCAGTGCCCAAGCCCTGGATTCAAGAGCTGACCAGGCCTAAATATTACTGTTGCTAAATGATGGTCTCAGTTCATTTTTCCAGGGTTTCCCATGGCTGTATCCCACGAAATTGGGCTAGGAAGCCTGTCTCCCAAACACCTTCTGTGGGTGAGATGCTTAGGGCACAAGCCAGCCACCCCCTGTGCTGTTGTTGAAGTGATCTCTGTGCTGTCTTTACAGACATGAGGAAGAGTGTGTGCTACCGCAACTACAATGACACCTGTGAGAATGAGCTCTCCTTCAACATGACCAAGAAGATGTGCTGCTGCTCCTACAACATTGGCAAGGCTTGGAACAAGCCCTGCGAGCCCTGTCCCACCCCTGCCAGCCGTAAGTCACCGCACTGTGTTCAGAGAGGGCCCTTGAAGGAGCTTGGCTCTGTGGCCACCCCTGACCATGGAGCACAGGATTATTTGGATCCCAACCGAGAGAAGAGCAGATAACAATAGCCCTGGCAGGAAATAAGTTACAGCACTGCATCCCATAGGAGGCTTCATGCAGCAGTGTGTGCTGCCTCTATTGGGAGCTAGGTGACTACATCATGGCTAGGAACTGATGGGTGACACTGAGAGCTGGAGATACTTGGACATCTCAGGCCCTTTGTCTGTGTACAGTGGGTCTGCAGTGAGTTCATGTATGGTGAATGAGTGGGTATTGTGGGTGTTAAGCATGTGCCTTGTGTACAGTTTGCAGTGTCTGTGCAACATGGGTGTGTGCATGTGTGCAGTATGTTTAGGGATGTGCCTGTGTGCACATGTACATGAGCACTGTTTGTTGCATGTGTGGCTGGGAGGAGGGTGTGCAGTGGCTGATGGGTATCTAACAGAATCAAGGAAAAATAGGGCTGGAAGAGAAATCAAGGGTCATCTAATCCAAACCCCTGTTCAAGGCAGGATCAGCCCTATCCAAACCATCCCATACAAGTGCTGGTCTGACCTGTTTCTAAAACTACACAATCAACCCTGTCATACAATCACAAGGCACATTGCCCCAAAACACCAAGAACTCCCTAACCTGGCACAGGTAAAGTAGGGGAACATGGCCATTGTCAGTGTCCCACCGCTGAAAGACAGTAAAAATATACTTGAGAAATCCAAAAAAGAAGACCATGCCCTCTGCTGCAGAGGAAGGCAAAACCCCCACAGTTCGTGCTGATCTGTCCACAGATTAATTTGCTTCCTGATTTCAAATGTGGTGACTAATCTGACCGTAAGCAGAGGAGCTAGGCTCTCTAACCAGGATCCTTTGGGTTGTACCCCCAGCAAGAATACGGGCATGCCCCAGACAAAATCCCCAGGCTTGGCTGCACCCAACACATCCCCTTGACTCAGCACCTGCAAACAGTAGGGTGCAGCCCCATGTAGAACTGTGTGTGCCACACAGCTGTCAGCCTGTCGACATGGGGGAGCTTTCAACCAAGCCCCGTCTTGCAGCTGACATCAGGCTGCATGACAGCTACCCTGCCGCATGTTCAGTTTAAGGCAGGATGGAAACTGGCCACAAAAATGTTACATATATTTGGTAGAATCTTGTGTGGCTGGTTTTCTGTTTTGCTGTTTTCCATTAATTGTCTGAATGTGTGACCGTTACAATTTATGGAGCAATTAACAGGGGCCTGAATTTTCTTTTATAACTAAGGTTGTTATGGAGCTCTGATGCCTTTTTTTTTTTTTTTTGCTGCTGAGCATGGTCCTCTCCAATATCTAGTTTCTTCAGGCTGCAGAGCTCTTCTTTTTCCTAGTGTTGAGCCCCAGCTCAAGTCTGGGATCGTGCCCGGTATGCAAAAGCCAATAAAGATACCAGGGGTGAAAGTATAAAGATTTATTGCTAGCAATACAAGGTGCAAGCGGAATAATTTCACGTAACAAGCACACAGAGTCTTAATTATGAGCATCTTTTATACAGGAGTATTGGACCTTCATAAGCATTCTTGTTTGCTAATTGGTTATAAGGGAGTGACGCAAGGAGTTCTTTACTGCGCATGTCTCTATACCTGTGTTTTAGCCATGTATCTCATTTCCATACATGTATGTTTCATTAGCATACTTTCTCCCCACCTAGGGGTGTGAATCTTAATATTTAAATCAGCTCTTTGCCCTACTCCACTAATTCTATTTTTGTTTTCAAGTCTCCTTTATCTAAGACTGTCTTCTCCTTATCATTGCAATTGAGCATTAGTTACAGAACAGAGACTTTTGCTTGGGCTATGTGTAGTGGTTTCTAGGTCAAACCTAACATTTTCCCCCTCTGGAGCATTTTTAATTATTTTTATTATAATTGCTCCACTCAATTTGTTTCAACACAAACCTAGTATTCTCAGCTTTCTTCGTTTGTAAAATCATTTGATTCACCTTAGGTCTGAAGATAGATAAGACGACAGGTGAACATTGTATACATAGGATATTTGATTGGTCTTGTTACAAAGGATTCTTCTACCTTGGTTCAATTTGAAGCAATTATTAGTACAATTAACTATTAGGAAACATTCAGAAGCATTAGCTGTTGCCTGAACCCGTACGGAAAACATGTCTCTATTCTTCTCTTTTACAATAGTCCCCCACTTATATATATTCTGATATGTACTTTTCTTCTCTACATTCTTCAGCATAGTATAATTTTGTAAAATTTTTAAAGGGGTTGGTACTGCGATTAAGCATGAGGTAAAAACCAGGTGAGCATTGATCCCTCCCGCTAAGCAGAAGTCCGTTCTATTTAAAATTTCCCGGGCCAGATAAATCCAGACATTTTCCTGAGGGTCAAATTTTTGTTGTAAAAGGGTTTCCCCTCCTATAAGTAGGAGTGGACAGATCAGGGTGCCCCACAATAAAACCTTGAACAATTTCATAATAAGGCTTATAAAACTTAATCAAAGATTGTCAAATTATTCAAAGTTCCTTTCTTTTGAATAGGAATTTCAAGTCTCTTATTGGCTCCACCTTCCACTGTTCTCTGTCTCCGGTCCCGGAGTCTGCAGGGATTCCTTCTTGTTCTGGTCCAGCCACCGGCTTTAGGCGACTGGAATGTATCCAAGTCTTGATTCCTTCGAGCTTTGCGGCCGTCGGGGTCGTTAGAAGTACCCTATATGGGCCTTTCCATCTGGCTCGAAGTGGTTCCTCGTTCCAATCTTTCACAAGGACGTAACTCCCAGGTAATAATCGATTTCCCAGGGCAGGATACTGGTCCTGTGTCTGCAGCACGTCCCGTACCTGCTGATGGATGGAAGACAAAACAGAAACCAAGGACCATACATATTCTCTAATCATTCCCTCTCCTAAAACATGTAACTGTTGTTCAGTACCCATGGGCAGACTCAGAGGGTAAGGCTTACCATACATTATTTCAAACGGGCTTAATCCCAATTTAGAATGTGGTGCGACCCTTACTCGTAACAGGGCCAAGGGTAGGGCCTCTGGCCATTTGAGTCGAGCTTCTTGGCAAATCTTTGCAAGGTGTCTTTTTAAGGTCTGATTCATACGTTCCACCTTTCCACTGGACTGAGGTCTCCAAGGGGTGTGTAAATGCCAGCTGATTCCCAGGAACTCAGAAACCTTCTGAGTAATTTGTGCAATGAAATGTGGGCCATTGTCTGACCCTATTCCTTTTGGAAGTCCGAGGCGAGGTATGATTTCTCGTAGGAGTGTCTTGACTACCTCCCGGGCCTGGGCAGTCCGACATGGGAAGCACTCAACCCAATTAGAGAAAGTGTCCACAAAGACAAGGAGATATTTTATCTCTTGTTGCCGGGGCAACTCAGTAAAATCCACCTGCTATTCTTCTCCTGGCCCATTGCCTATTCTCTGATGTCCTGAAGTTTTTCTTCTCCCTCCTTATGGGTTATTTCTCTGGCAGACCTCACATGTCTCTGATACCTCCTTGGCAGCCTCTCTTAATCCCACTCTAGTTACATAGTAACTGATCCATCTTACCAGGGCCCTGGGTCCGTAGTGGGTACCATGATGAGTGCTCTTTACTACCACATGAACCCAGGCAGCTGGGATGATAATGCGGCCATCCCTTGCTACCAGCCACCCGTGCTCCCCCTTCTTTGCTTGAAACTCTTTTATCAATTGTTTGTCTCTCAGATTTGGCCTTGAAGAATAAACAGCTTCCAATGTTTGCAGGCAGTCATGTACAAGATCTGGTGTGTCAGCCATAGATGGCAGCAGTGTTGCTGGATTTACAGTGCGAAAAATGGCCAATTTTTTT